CAAGAGGAAATGGGACGTTCAAGTTCTAGGGAGTTGTCAGCATCGAGGGGATAAAGGATTTATGTTCGCTGAGACAAAATGTCCATACCGAGGGATTCAATTCGGCGGCGATTTAAGGAAAAAAGGGTTTCCTTTGTAAGAAGAAGATCAGGTGGCTATAAAGAAATCAGAAAACAATCTACCCTTTTTGGGAAGATGCAAAAGATGGGAAGGGAAAAATCCTTCCTGGCTTCGCTCAGGAAGATTCGACCCCAAGGGTGCACACCCTTTTGCTATCCTTGCTAGAACAACTTCAGAATACAAGGATTCTTTTCAGTCTGTCGCTGGTATTATAGCAGGCCTATTGTCACAATTCGTCCTGCCACTTATCGGATTCGATGTGCTCTTTCTACTTACGGGTTGTTTCATGGCTTTCTCGCTCACGATCACTACCTGCCTTCACTTGACCACTTTTAAATCATCACCTCCTGTCTCTATTGACGATTAAATTGTTAAGGGTCCAATTTGGCCTGCCATACCTCTTAAGCCATTAATTTTTCTGTAGGATTAGCGAAATTACATGATATTTATTTGAATTTAAAAAATATTCATTGATTTTTGAGACCTAATAGCATCTCAGCATTCTCGGTTGTCTTCGATATCACTTCTTCTACAGGCACTTTTTTCTCCTGAAATTTTCAGTTAATGTTGTTACAGTAAATAATTTGATTTTGTAGGTATTGTGTTTGTTTCTTAAGTTGTTAATTGTTGAAATAATAATTTCAATTTTAAAATATTACTGTAAAAACGTACATCCGCAATAAATTCTGCAGAAAGCCTCAGATTAGCTGGTTCGTTCCGTTCCCCTCGGACAGGACCAAGCACGGGTGAGTCAGTTTCCAGAAGTAGCTTGTCCAATGGAATGGCATTAATTAAGAAGCGCTTCTGTAAACAAAAACATATTCCGTCTGAAACTTCAGATTACCTTCTAAATACCGTACGTGATCTCCAGCCGTGAACGACGGAGGGATGGAGAAGAAAAATCCTGCTTGTAGACCACGAAGAGCTTCTTCCAAAGAGCCGTTGAAGGCATGCAGTGCTACTTTTGTGGCGCTGTTTTCAATCAAAAAATCTACGGTATCTCCGCAGGCAGACCGAGAATGAACGGTCCTAAACAGCCGTGGATGACTATCTCTGTCCTATTAAGCTTTTTTCTCCACCATATGACCTTCCTCTAGAAGTTTGAGGTGGGTGGAGGCAGGAATAGACACGAGTTTTGAGAGTTTCAGAACTAGGAGGTTTTCATGTCATTCTAACCAGTCAGGGGGGGGGGGGGGGGGGGGGAACAGGGAAATGAGTCTGGGCTCCGGGATAAACTGGTAAACAAAAAAACACATCCACCTCAAAAAAATATAAGTCACACCCTCTGAGGGTCGACCACGCCCGTGGGGGGCGACTACGAGTTCTGGGAGCCTCCTCAAATAGGCACTGAATTTGGGCATATAAAACTTTCCATTTAAACGGAACCACTTTCAGGGAACTGAGTTATTAATGTCGAGGAAACATTAAAATTTGGTATACATTATATCGAAAAATGCTGCTCGGAGAAATGAAACTCACAGAGGCAATTCCAACTGCTTCGCCCATTCTATGTGCTTTGCTAAAACTTCTTTTTGAATTGCTATCTTTTCAGGAGTGATATTGTATCTTTCGGTGAAATCCAAACCAACCTACAAATATACTTTGATTAACAGAAAAGTCCAAGAAGTTTTGATACGTACCTCTCCAATACAGTAGATCTGGTCACGACGCTTCAAAAGGAATTCCTCCACGCCTTCCGCGTCTTCCAACTTGACGGATTTGTTCTTTTTCTTAATTTAGTGAATTCTATTCCGCACCAGTAGAAAATTCTGAATCTGCCCTTACTTGAATCGGGTGTATTCCAATGGCAGGCAGCACGAAATCAGGATGCCGTTGTTTCAACTCCAATACGGCATCAAATTGACTCGCATACTCTGGACATACCACGGCATGCTTCACTCCGTTTGATTTCGCACGTTCAATGACATCATCGACATCGTTTTTGAACTTGTTGTCTACCAAATGACAGTGCGTATCAATCATGTACGTGGCCATTTTGGTCTGCCAAATGGCCTCGCCCGTAACAAAGCGCTTTTCAACGTCCTGTAAACACAATATGGACAAATTAATTTGAAAAAAGCCAACTTTTTACCTTCTCCTTTCTTTTCGTTCCCAGTCCTTGTAAAAAAAGTATTTGATGTTTGGCCCAAAAGCTTTCCCCATTACGGATGTGATGGGATGCAAATCGAGGCAATAGCGGTCCGTCAGGGGTCAAATGTGCCTCGACTCACCTGGACCAAAGACTACCATCTACTGCTACGTGAACTGAATAAGTCGAACTACGAAGATTTTCCTCTGCCTAGAACACCCTATAAAATTAGTTTTAATGTACAACTTATCATTAGGTGTCGTTATGACTAAAAAGTCTCAAAACCCTAGACTCTCAAAACCCCAGACGAAAACATCATAAAATACCTGGGGAACCATGCCAAAAACCTTTAGAACAACACTTTTGAAATGACTTCTCAACTACAGTAGGTCCTTTAAGACTGCCTCCTGTTTGAAGCGCAATAGCAAGTTCAGAATTACAGGCTTCTGGCAAATCTTCATTTGGTGTTGATTCGAATTGAAGTACATACAAATATGAATACCTGAGATCATGTTGTTACTTTATAAATCAGAACAACCCTAAAAGGATGGATTACCAATACCACGTATTTGACGAGTGCAAAAGGGAGTGAGAACACATTAGATAGCGACTACCTATATAATAATTGAAAAGGAATATTTGGCAACAAGGATCAATTTAGTAGATTGAAGGCCTAAGAACCTATAAAACGAAGATAAGTAAGATGGACTAGAAGTAAAAACACAACGAAATATTTCTCGGACCACCAACTAATCGTCCAAATCGATTACGTCAGTGGGCTTCCTCTTTGGGAAAAATTGGGAGAGGCGCTGATTCTTCACATCACTTCTGTCGGGTTTCCGCTTTGATATGGGTTTTCTTGAGATCATATTGGTAGAGGTACTCCTAAAAATAAACTTTTAACGACCTTTGACTTGAAAAATTAATCACACTGAATAAATTTTGTAACACTATTATATAAGCCCTGCCAAAGTCCATAAAATCAAAAAAGAAACAAAAGAATAAAAATGTGAACGCAAAGGGAAAACACATCACTAAGGAATGCTTGATACAATTACCTGAGCTCAAGATTTGCAAGCGCTTTCTCAGCAGCATTTCGAGCTCCGCCCAAACCTGTGGGATGACTACTGTTCGAGCCTAATGTGCATTAAAATTAGTAAACATTTTTTAAAAAGTCATATCAATAACAAACCTTTGAGAACACGCTCCCGTATCGTTTTTGGAACACGAGGACTTGGCCTGAACAAAAGAACTCAGTTGTAGGACTGAACTATTTAAAACCTGTAAATTTCGAAAGTCCTATAACAGTACACAGTGTCCATGCGGGTGGGAAACTGCAGTGAAACATCGCCGTCGTGAGATTTGACATCATCCTCATCATCTGACAAATTTGTGAAAAGCGGTCTGAGAGGCGTTCTTGTTTCTGGTCTCGCTCGAGGAGAAACCTACATCAAAGTAATCAAATGTTAAATGATTGTTTGAAGGAAGAATTACTCAGGAGAAACTTACTGCTCTTACACGAGGTCTCAACGCTGAACTGAGAACATCGGGATTTAGCTCGACCGATTCATTGAATCCTAACGAATCACGCTTTCGAGGGCTAAATTGCAAGTGTAAGAACTAGTAAGTGGTACTGTAAGAAAGTTCGAATTTAAAACCTTGTTTCTAGCAAAGATTCAGTCAGTGTAAAGGGCATACTCAAAAAAGCTGGAAGACATCAAAACCATAATACAATTGTAGAAATACTCCTTATTAAGACAGCTAATTATCACGAGTGACCAGTAAATAAAGTATAACCAACCTGTTTTCTGACACTAGATTTTTCAGTTTCGGGTTGAATGGTGTCGTATTTATATCAGCAGCACAGCGTACTTCTCGCAGTTCTTTTTCCAATGCCTGCATATATGGGATATCTTCAGAAACATAGAAATCATTGCAAATAAATGACGTACAGCGACTATATTCTTGAGATCATACTCCTTCTTCTTCAAACTCCTTATCAATTCCCTTTCAGCCTTTAAATCATCTTTTAGCTTCAGCTGCGCTTTCCGTGACTCTTCTAATTGCCTGGAAAAAAACATTCGAGAAGGATTAAAACAATGGGCGTAGGTCACTATCAAGAGTTATTGGGGATAACACCTTTCATCAATCGAACACACCTGTTGCTCAAGTTGCGTCCAAAAACTGAGCAAGCATTTCAAAAAGCGGGGAGATCGGTGCTCAGTATGTGTAGCACCGCGTGAAAAGAAATGTTGGGAGGAGCAGTAAGGTAGCGTTACACCAAGAAAGTCATCGTAGCAGATTGCGGGACAAAAACACCGATGGAAGAACTCGTTATACTGAGGCGATAATTACCATGAGGAAGATAGTTGCCCCCAATATTTATCCTCTTTACCCTAGACTCTCTTCTTTCCCGGAAATCGACAACTCTCACGGATCAGCAGTGGACTGACACTGTAGGAAAGCAGGGGGTTGTGTGGTACACAGTTCACATAAGCGTAAACCTTCCGTTCTCTGCATATCGGTCACAAACAATCTCACCTCCTGAGCACTTTGATAAACTGTCCAACTTCAAGTCCGCCGTCGTCTTTGATGTATTTATCCATAGCAGACTCATCCTTCGCCGTTGTAACTGCTTTATAGCTAAAAACATGAATACCATACGGCTACAGTAACTTCAGAATAAAGGAGGAAAGTGGTTAAAGTGATGACAGTGGAGCAAATAACACTAGAAGAGTGTGAGGTATCTGAGATTTTCACCAATAACATGACACCCTTTACCATATCACATGAAATAAGAGTTTCTAAAACATACAATTCACACGCTCGCAGTTGATTTTTTGTTCTCTCAAGAGCCCTCTCCAATTCCTGTTGATCGACCAACATCATTTCAAGTTGCCGATTTTGAGCTTGTAGTAGCGGAATCTTTTCACGAGAGTGCTTCTTTTCTCTCTCCAGCTGAAGTAATCTTATATTATGCGGATTCACTGAATAGAGCAGATATAACTTCCACTCCACTCCATCCTTCAGTACTTACACTAGGAAGTGAAGTAATACCAATAAAAAATAACCTTTGCTTCAAGGGTAGAGACAGCGTTTTTGAGCTTCTGCACCTCTTCCTGAGCTTCGAGGCGATCATTTTTCTCTTGCTCGAGAGCTATGGAAAGAGCTTCCACCTGAACTTTTATACTTGCTGACCGAAAAATGATGAAAAATAGAGTACCACAAACAACTTTTGTAATACATCTAGGGTTTTTACCATTGAGAAGGAAACAAGATCAGACAGAAGTAATAACTAACGAAGTGTATTCTCCTGCATTCTACCTACATTCTCTCTTGATTCAGGTAGTGCCAAAACAATTATTACGTTTAGACGTTCTGGCACTACCTGAATTGAGAGAGAACACCCCGGACGTGATTATTATTAAAATTAATTAGTCGGAGCTGAACATGACCTCATCGAAAGGAAAACCTATACTGCCACAGGCCTCAGATCAAGCTCAAGGCTTTAACTGTACTACCCAATCCCGTGACCGATTGGTATTCTTTACGTACCTCCGCTACTATCAATACCGCGGAGAGAAAAAAGACAAAGGAACTGGAATACTCGCGTTTAACACTGAGGGAAAGAGAATTGAGCTCACTGCCCTTGTAATAGCTGTTCCCCCTACGTAGAAGTGAGCAACCATTTCGGCGTGAGCGCCCTTGAAAGGATAAAAACAAAGGTTATTACAAATTGCAAAAATCCACTGAACAACCTGAGCAGCGTTGTTACAATCCGTTTGAGAAGCTGCAATTTCTTCAGCACTGTCAAAATATAACTGCTTCACAATATTCCTCTCAGCTGTTCTTACTCTACAAATCGGACAGGTTTTCGACCGCTGCAAGTTAGAGTGATAAGACGGCAAAACTTGATGACAAACTCATGGAAAGAAACCGAACCTCAACCCATTTACTGATGCACACAAAGTGAAATGTGTGGCCACATTGCAAAGCAGAGATGCTGTTGGACGTGAAGACAGAGGTGCATATTACGCATCTTCCACGAATTTGGTTCATTCACAATTTAGTTGGTCAAGGTACATCGAGAACAAAAACCTCGACTGACTGCTGAATCGATAAATAATAGTACCAAGTCAACAATGGCATGAATAATATCGAGCAAAACTAGAACGGAAGAGCGTTTGAAGGAAAATTAGAGAGGTTTCTCCGATAGTTACCTGATCTTTATCGAATTTGTGGCTCATAATAGGAAAAAGTGACGTCTACCAACTGCAAAGATTCTGCCAAGATTATAGGCGCTTCAAACTATGCTACACTATGCGGAACACACAAGAAAGAAGTAGAAGCTTTCCATCTGAAACCTCTAGCACCCTGCCATTGAAAGCCACCGTGAAGGTTAATGTAATTGACCCGGAAAACATTCCAAACAATTTGAGCCGGTCCCCACCCAGTGACATGTCCGTATTCTATAAAACATAAGGTGTAACTGCTTGCTACACACTGAATGAGACGTCTCAAAAACTCGTTCTACATTCCAACGCCGACGTTAGCATTGCTTTTAGGCAATTTTAGCATTCTCATTTGGAAACATCATCCATCAATGGGTCCGTTTAAATACCCCGTCTTATTCACATTAACTCTAATCGTTTTCCTTCTGCTCAACAAGTTCCCGGTCGCATCAGCATCTCCACAAACTTTTTATTCTGAAAGGAGTGTGGTTATTTTTACTGGTTTACTTCTCTGTTTTCTTTTCTAGGTCTCAGTTTTTGATCGTATGAAGAGTGTTTGTTTCAATGTGGTCTTTTAGAAAAAGTCTTTTTTCAAGATGCAAAAGTTGTGTCTCCGTGCTTTTGGGACACGTTCTGGTCTACAGGTGGTGAATAAAATATTTGTTTATGCTTCTCCTTTCGATTTGATATAATCGATAGTTGTCACTGCATAGTCGCAGAACTTGTTATTCGTTTTGATACCTTTATTTACTGCTTCGATTCTGGATTTTCCCGAGCACGGTGATGATTGTAACTAAAAATAGTTTTTAATCCACATGGAACAGATCTTTATGAGTGCTCGCTCCGAGTAATCGGATGGAATCAAAGAAAATGTATTGAGTAAGTAGTAATGAATTATATTTATTAATGAATTTGATAGATTTGCGGTGTTTTTTCGGTGATAACTACTTGGAGAGGCACAATATAACTATTATCTCCTTTTCTCTTCCGTGACTGTTAGAATCTGTTTTTTTCTTCGCGACCAGTGTCCATGCCTGTGCCTCACATTGTTGTCTATGGTCTGTGTATTGTAGAAATGATTCGACATTTTATTTCTTACCTAGCTGCTTTGTGCAAGGGCTCGAAGTCTTGAAAAAGTGTAATTCGACATGCTTGACATTTTCCTGCTACTGATAACAGACCTTTCGGTAGTCGGATGATGGAGACGGTTGTCAAGTTGACTTTGTTGAATCTGACTACTATTACAACCATAGAGTACATTCCACAGATTATTCCAGTTGTATTTTTTTTCTACTTTTCGCCGTTGGAACGGTGGTGAGCAATGTGTTACTTCTCCACCATTGCCGTTTTACAATTCACTAACATTTGTGATGTGTCACGTCTGTATTACTATACTACATTCTTCAAGTAAGCTCAATATTATCTTGAATTTCTCAATTGGACAGGTTGTATTACCTTCATTCAAACGAATAATTATGGATAATTCTTGACTCGTGCCAGTTCTCTCTCTTTATTGAATTGACAAGATGTTCCTCATTCCGAGTCATTGCATAAGTCGCCTACTCAGCAGTCATCTTGGCTATTGTGTTTCATAATATCGATATTTTCAGAAACCGTTGCGTTCAATCGTACTAACCAGTTTCGATGCTGTGGGTAAAACAAGAAGTTCTTCTCTATTCAACTTGAATTCTTCAGCTGCTTTGGCTTATTATGTATATTCCGGTAAGCGGAGCTTCTTTTCAACTTCATTCTTTCTAATTTTGGCTACCGCTATTTTTACCTGACTACGTGTATTTGACAGGTAGACCGCGAAACAAAATTCCGTCTGCCTGTTCCTGGCGAAGATGGTGATCTTCGGGAACATCGCGCCATTAAGTGCATCGCTTCTAATAGAGAAAAGATTTTTATGGCTGTTGTCACTTCAGATTGTATATACATCTGGCTTGCTCATGTAGGTTTTAATTTCGTGACCTTAAGTTTTTTGCATGTACTTGGACCATAGCGAGTTTGATATAACGAACTTCTGGTGGTAACTTTCAGTTAGTTCCTATAATGGTACCTAGTCTCATTTTCAGAAGCTTTGCAGTCAACGAAGTTTCAGCTACAGTTTTTTATCCATTTCAGCCTCACCTTCTCTTGTGCACCCTAAGGATATCAGCTGGAGATGTTATCGAGAGGGGTACCTTAAATAAAGCTTATTGGAATTATGATTCTTCTCATATTGTAATTACGGTACGTTCTACATAAGTAGTTTTCTTATTGGGCTGCAAGTGAAGTTGCCTATGGTAAACGTGCGCGCATGTATTAAGGCTTGGAGTTAAATAGCTCAGCAATTTCATATGGTCTATCCTGTCATTCCGGATTTGATTAAAAAGTTTAATTTAGACGTCACGTAACAATCTTCTGATTTATCGAGTCATTGTTTCTGGTGAGAATTGCTATAACCTTATCGATCCTCCTGATATTCAACTTCGACGTTGCTCACAAGAACTTTTCCTTCGTGGACCTCGGCCATCTATCTCCTTAGCACCTTCAGTAGTTGTCAATCTTGCTGCATCAGCAACATGGTCAGTACAGTTCTTAATATGTACAATAGGGTTCTGGGCCGCGCCTCATAGACCCAAAGAACCATTTTGTGATCAGATACTTACGTTTCAGTTGTGTTCCACTTCGTGAGGAACTTTTTGTCTGCCTGCGAAATGGCTTTATCCACCATATCTCATGGGAAGGTCAAGTTCGGGCAGAGTACTCAATACGACTTCCAGCCGTGCCTTTTGCTCACGACCAATTGCAGTCAAAACGTATGTGCCTCTTCAGTGCCTTCTTTTTGCAACAAAACACATTGCCTAGATTTCAACTATAGAGGCGTCATTCCTCTAAGATATGTTTTTTCAAGACGACATAAATGCAATTTTTTCAGCTGATTTCGTTACTGATCCGGCTGCTCATGTAGTTGATGCTGTATATGCTCCTCTAGTGGGAGGTTATTGTATAGTGTTATCAGATGGTCGTGCTGCACTCCTGACTTCGTCGGATTCACGATTTCATCCTAATGTAACATAAATGCATTGATTTTTCAGTTGTGCTAAATGATCCATTGTAATTGTAGACAGTTCTTGGTGTCTGGGCGCTCAACATGAAAGACGCAACGTGTAGTGATGTCAACCACAAGTTTCGTTTGTTGACGTTCGGCTGTGCCAAGTAAGTTTTTGAGTATGCCATCAAGATTTGATTTGAACAAATCTGCTTCTGGCATTTCTATTTTCACCATGAATATCAGAAGGTATTGTTTTTCTGCTTGTTCTCCGACATTCACGCAAGTCGTTTCAAAATCGCACCGATCGTATCTTTCCTCATTCATACTTTTAAAAGATCAGATACATATTTTTCAGTGGTGATGTTGCGGCCTACCACTTGGACGATTCCAACGGCTCACTTGTCCAAACATTCCGTGTCGCTCTGAAAGTGCAGAACGGCCCGGGTAGGCTCATTCAGTTTTTAAACATGTCTATTCTGTTTCATACAACTAAGAAGATTGGTAAAATGGTTATATACAGTTCGAAGCCCTCATTTTTCTCATATTTTTCTCCTGAATTTTCATATTTCGTCAGTTTTTCCTACTGTTTTTTTTAAGAAATATGTTCAAATTTCAGATGTTGTTAATCGAGTGGGTAGTGTTTCGGATATCCAGGTGCTAACAAACGGAGGTGCCTTTGTGGCTGTCTGGTCGTTGAAGGCTTCTACAGGCAACACCGCCGAGGCTAATGTCGCTCATCTGCCAGCCACACTTGCGGTATTCACGCCATTCGGCACGCAGACGTGGTGTTCACTGGAGTCGATCCTCGATGGGTCTGTGGTTCTGTACAATCCAGCACCTGCATTTTTTTAAACTCATGTTTGGTTCAGTGATGGGACACCAGCAGTGTCGTACACATCTGTTGACTGGGGTCCAGAAGGATATCATCTATGGTTAGGGCGAAGTGATGGGTTATCCATTTTGCCAATGGCCAGATCTGCTGCATTATGTAATCCCATTATGGTTGGTTCAGTTATGCTACTCTGCAAAACGCAATTCAGCAACTTCCCAAAAGTCTTTTTTCAGGACCATTCCAATCACATCGTCCTAATATGCAGTTCTAGAGTGCTTATCAGTTCGAATAGGGAGCGAGAAGGAGTAGCGAGTGCACCACATGCCGTTTGGACAGCCGTCAATCCTCCTCATGAATACATCGCATCGAATTGGCCAATTCGAGTATGAAAAAATTGTTTATATCTTACTTGGTTAGAGGGGAGTTTTGATGCTCACGTGCATGGCATTTTCAACTTTTTCTTGAGTAGGCCTGTTACCAACTTTGACCTTAGCCTTTACCTTTGAAATACCGGTCATACTACTATCTGATTGAATTTTTTAAGTTTGCCGCTGTCGATCGAGATTCTGCCAAGCACTTAGTTGTTGCTGGACTAAGAGGTTTGGCGCACTGTTCCCTTCCAGGAGGTAGATGGAAAATTTTCGGCAACGAAAGTCAGGTGGATAATGATATATCCAATCGATAAAGTTGTTAGATACAATTATTTGTCCTGGAGGAAAGCCTTACCAATTTAGGAGTTATCGCTGATGGTTACTGGCGGAGTGTTGATATGGGGTGGTACGGTCGGCGCTGCTTGCTACGATTTGGATTCTTGTCGTGAACAATTGCGATTCTACCCTCTTAACAAAAAGCTAGACAATCGTTTTGCTTCCATGATTGAGCTCGAGTGTCGAGTTATAATGATGTCGCTGAGGTGAGAGGCTTGTATGGTTCCCTCTGTCAGATTCCCGCAGATGAATTTGATGTTCATTGGCGAGTTTAGTAGGTCAATGGACCTTTACTTTAGAAATTCTGCCAGATTTCTTGCTCATGGTCAATTGTGGATCAAGATTAAAGGTGAAATGGAGGTCAAGCTATGTTTTTGATAAACTTTTTCAGAAGTGATGCACTGGTCACGTTCGACATTGAAGGGCGCATAATCATGCACCGTTTGATGAGGAATGAAGAGAGCGGGAGTGATCTGGTGAAGGTAAGGCTCCCAAACTGTGTAATCAAATCACTATGAGGTGCATTTTGGTACTGAGTGACAGTTCACATGCAGAAAACTTGCAGATCACAGTGGATCGTATAGCTGAAATTCGGGTGGGTGATCTTGTCACACACCCGGCTTGTTTGGTGTCAATACATTTAACACAACTCAGTCTTGATTCATGTAGGTTTGCGTTTTCTTGAATGACTTTCTTTTAGCTTCGAATTCTTGTTGAACACCTTCAGAGCAGAATAAGTTCTACTTTTCAGCAGCTTCCTCCTTCTTTCCTGGTGTGGATACGGTGCTTGTAAACGTTTCGGGACGATTGTTAACACTAAATCCTCATAAAACCTTGAAAGACGTGGAACCCAATGAGCCTTTCCAGGTGCTTTCATGCAAGCTCTTCATAATATTTGATTTTAGATTGGGTATATTTTATTGTTCGTATTTTAGTTAAATCAACCGATTATGGTGGCATCATTCGTGGAGCAAGTATGGCATTGTCGAGCTCTGACTGCTAGAGAGCCACCAGGGCTTCCTCATCTTCTGAATGCTCTTTGGATTAATTGTGGGTCACGAGGAATGCGGGTACTTATTCAGCTTGCACTACATTGATGAATATTTGATCTTTAACTCAAGTGCAGTTTTATTGTTGTGCAGGTGTGGCTACCATTGATATCAGGACGTCGTGCAATAGTTTCTCAAGACACATCTTTTATTTCAAAAAGAATAATGCTTCCGTTCGAGCTGGATATCTGTCCTTTAGGTAAGATAAATGCTATCCGCCTAAACTGTGCTGTCAAAAAGGTTTTTGTAGAGAAAAGCAGGAAATATTGGGTTTTTTTTGGTTTATTTTGTTAATGATTCGATTCTCATTTCTCCATTTCTCAAAAGCTGTTCTCTTTCAGCAAAAAAAGTTGCATGGTATAGGCTTCCTAATTGGGCATTGAGACCATTTAAATTGATTTCTGCTTCTTCAGTGATTTGTTCGAACGACTGCCTGGCTATTGGTGTAGAGAGTTTGCCTTTTGTGTTCTACAATGGTGGAAAGAGATCAGCCGCCCTTTACAGTTTGCACAGGAATAGTGAAGTAAGTGTTCCTGAAGATACCAATTGCTTCTTATTTTACATTGGACACACCAGTGTCTGCTTTCTAGAACAATCCTCTACACTTAATCTTAGAGTTAGAGTAATGAAGTTTGGGGTGTCTTGGAAACTTTTAAGTATCAATAAGAAGACCATTATCAGGTTTTCGCCCACCACATTTTGCGTCAGCTCTTAAAGCGGAACCTGGGCGTTTTTGCTTTGGAAGTAGCTGCAGCATGTCGTCATTTGCCACATTTTGCACACTCTCTTGAGCTGCTTCTGCATGGTGTGTTGGAGGAAGAGGCCACAAGCAGCGAACCTATACCGGGTAATCCTAACTAAGTAAATGCCATTTCTGAGCTGATATAAATGACGTCTAGTATGTTTCCTTCACAGATCCACTACTCCCTCGATGTGTTGCTTTCATCCAAGAGTTCCCCGAGTTCTTACGCACTGTTGCTCACTGCGCCAGAAAAACTGAACTGGCGCTTTGGTCGTCTTTATTCGCTGTTACGGGCTCACCAAATGATCTGTTTGAGGTAATTTCTAATAAGGTTCTCGATTTTTCTCATCTTAGAGCTTATTCCTGCTTTTATCAGTTCTTCTGGAATACCGTTTTCATTTTATCATGCCTAATATCAATGACTGTCTTTTTTCAATCAGGTATGCCTTCGTGATGGGCAGTTGCATACTGCTGCTAGCTACCTCATTGTCCTGCAAAGCATTGAGAGCGCGCAAACAAGCCAAGAGGCAAGCATAATTTTCTAATACTGGAGGTTTAGAAGTAAGTACTTTTTGTTTCAGCAAGCTCTTCGCCTTCTTCGGGAAGCATTATCGGCGGGAGAATGGAGCATTGCAAAAGACATGGTGCGATTTACTCGTGCTATTGGGTCGGAAGATATGGATAGTCCGCCTAGGTTCGTTTTTGGCCTTCTCTTCTTCATATGATGTTGTACTATATTTTATGGGTCAAAATGTAATTCTAGGACACCCCCTCCAATGAGAACGTCATCTTCTCGACGTCATGCTACCTCAATAAATAGTGTTGCTGAAGCCGATGATCTGGTTTTTGCTCGCTTCCAAGCTGGTTAGCATGAACATCTCTGTTATAAAAAAATGCTGAACAACCTAAGAGATTTCTAAAATTTCTATTTCATTTCATTCATAATTATTTTATTTTTATTTTTAGGTGTTATGTAATAAGGTTATTATTTTAAGGTGCTAGAATAGCGAAGGTTCGTCATTCGCATGCTGAAGGTCGCGAGTTAACTCGCAAAGATTCGGCAGGAAGCGGTAAACGAGTGAATAGGGTCAGTCTTTTTGCTACCATTGTACGATACAGCATGCCTTCTATGCCTTCATTCTTTCTGCTACTAAAGTTTAAAAAGTAGTGTAATTGGAACTATTTGTTTTTATTGTTGGTAATTAGACATGAATTCCATCTTAGGAAACTTCATCCTTGCCTCTGATGAACCGAATAATTCCATCACCATCTTTAATGTAATTTTAGCCCTATTTGTAGCACGCTTCGAATGATATTGGACCGCCATCTCCAACTCAAATAAATCCTGTTGCTGAAAAAATGGGTGCGATACTGGAGGGCCACGCTGTTCATTTGTTAGAAGAATATTGTCTAAGAGATTTTGGTAAGTTGCATGTTTTTGTGTCAGGTCTACTGGATGTGTTCGTATTCCTCCTGGAAATTTTCGTTGTAGGGTATTTCGTGTCCGCTTTGGATCTCGACGTATCTCAAATATTGGTTTCATCGCGAAAATTTGTACAAAATTTCCCCAACGCCCTAACGCGACTTCATTCTCAGTTTGCTTGGCCATATCCGGTCGCCAGTAAAAAAGTAGTTGATCAATTGGAGAAGCGATTTGGCTCCATGCGATGTAGCCAAAGTGCAGCGTGTCTGAACGGTCGGTTTTTCGTTTTCTCTCTATTTAGTAGTTCACAATTTTGGAAATATTGACTGATCATCTCAGGAGGATCGTCGACAGAAGTGAAGAAAACCTCGATTCAGTCCATTCCTATGGCCATCTCTCCTCAAGAAAAGACGAACTTGAGAATAGGGAGCAGTTCTCCTTCCAGTGACCGTGTCTCAATAGAGGACGCTCATCTGGTTCCTATTCAGGAAAATGGTAATATTTTATCTGGTTTGTGGTTAATCTTTCAGAATGTAATCTTCCTGTTTCGCGAAATTTCCATTTTCTTTTCACTTCAACAGGAAATTGAAAACTTGCTTTTTTGCTTTTTCTTCGCTAATTATCTCTTCTAGGCAGCAATAATGCCCCATCTGGTTCGGTATTGGGTTCACCGTGTAGCACGATTGAGAACAGTACAGTTGAAAACAACGATTCCAAAAGCATTGGTAGCGATTGGCACGGTTTGTTATTGTTTTTGCTCTCAGAACTGATCCTATTTCGAAATTTCTTTTGTTTACCTTTTAATTTTGTTTGAAGGCCTGAAATTACTGGTAGGGGAGACGTCCAATAAAGGTTCCACGGAAAGCCTACAGCAAATGACGCACCTGATGTCCTGGTTCTCCGCTGCGGGATGTATGGACTGGATTTTCTTGGTAACTATAATGGTTTTACCTTTTCAATGATCTTTTCTGTGGAATGAGTAATTTTAACATTTTGAAGATTTGTGTGGTCTCTCGGGACATCTTGCTGTTGCGGCGCGAGATTAATCCCGAATTGGCCAAAAAAGCCGGTGCTGATGCCTTCAAGCATGTAATGTATGGATGTGACGATCTTCTTGAATGGGCGAGACAGAATTGGTAACGTTACTCTTAAAAGTTCCTCTTTATGCGCTTTCTCGTGTAAATTTTCTTTCGCGTTTTTATTTGCATCTCTGTTTCCTTTTTTGCTTTTTCGAAGCTGAACAGAGTTGAAATCAAACTTTACAGCTTGGGGTATGTATCTATTCTCCATGTGTTTGCGGCTCATTTGGATATTGTCGCTCAAGCTCTTGGACTACCCGGTCGGGGAGCATTGAAAAGGCCGCCCTCTGGAAACCCAAATAATACAACTGAAAAAGGTGGTTTTCCTCTTTCAAACCACAACCACTTATTTTCATCAAATGGATGTCATTCAGACGCATCGTTCAACCTGCAAAGTCCACCTACCGGTAGGATGGCCCGTTCCACTCGCGCTTCAACTGGTAATCCCAAATTGCGGGAAACTTTTGGGTTGTCAGACAAACGAGGCAGAGAAAGAAGTCGCTCTGTCGATCGAGCAGCAGAATATGTCGTTGGATCTACGGAGCAAGACAATTCGTGTACAATTACGTAATTTAATTTTGGTACCAATGTTTCTTTCTTACAAAGCCATTACCTGTGATACAAGGGAAGTCTTAAATTATGCTCGATAAATGGTGCATTATACTTAGCCATAGTATAATTATTTTTGGAAAATTTTTAGTGATTCCCAGTGATTACATGTACGAAATTGCATATTCAAATTAAAACGTGATTTAATGTTTGCAAAAATGGCAAATCTTTCAGCGATTTGACTATCTAATTATTTCTATTTCACTTTCATTAACGGGGATTGCTGAAATTGCCTAGTTTTTGATTTCTTATACTGTAGCTACAAATTAGTATCCTTACAGAATTTTCTCCTTATTTATGGGAAGCACCTCTAGATTGTGTTCAAAGTGGTCATAACAACTTACTAGTATCTCTTTTGTATGTGTTTCGTTTTTCTTTAACAACCTGTCATTACAAAAATTATGTATTGTTCATTATCGAGCATATTCTTTCGTTACTGTTTGTAGAATAATAGAAGAAAGTTTTATTTTACGAGCCTCAAAGTGCTTCTATGCAAAATGTTTTTTTTTCATTGTTCAAGTGTTAAATTTATATATGTACTGTATTGAATTTTAAGGTATAAATCTATCCATGACATGGTTTTGATTCCAGGTTTCAAGAGTACGGTAGTGTAGCGCCCATAGAATTGAACCGTGAAGGGTCATCCATGAATAAGAACAATTTGCAACTGTCTGATAACATTAATTTTATAAGATTTTAATAAAACCTGCTGCCAAGATGGTAGATATGTCCTTATCAACTTGCGTTTCGGCGTTATCGCCTTCTTCAGAGTTGGACATATTTATTTAATTATATGCCAAGATGGTAAATAAGGACATATTTACCATCTGGGTAGCAGGTTTTATTAAAATTTTATAAAATTAATGCAAAACTATGCCAAGATTTATCGAGAGTCGAACATGGATGCTGTCTGAGAACACACAGGATTTTTATACGAAATGGTGAGCCAGGTAGGCAAGCGTCAATCGATCCCATTTCAGGATACGCTACGCATCGTGCTTTTGCTCAAGATTGTGAAGGTATCTGTGTGTAGAGTTGTGATTGTGTGATAGTTTAGAAGGCAAGATCACATCGCTTAAGGCGTACAGTAAGCTATCAAGTGACCACTCCCGCAAGGTGTTTTCTCCAACTTCATCAACGATTCGTTGTCTGAGGTCCGTCACTTGACCGTGCCAGTTCTTCGTTGCTAGCTAATACCGGAGCTGGGGAGACTTTTCAGCCATATTGACCTCCCACCATCTTTGCAGGGATGTTCGCCGTCTTCCTATAGAAGGCATTACTGTCTCGCTGGTGTCACTGGATTAGAAGGTGGAATATACGGTATTACCGGACCTCCGAATGTTAGCGTACATATTATCTGTCAGGGGTTTATCAAGTTTGTGTTTGCCTGACGAGTAAGTCATAGCAGTAACAGCGCCCAAGGGTGGTTCATTTGTTCTTCGGCTGTTCACCGAGTAGGCTCGTCATTCCTTACTAACTCGTCCTTCGTCCATATTCGTAACAGGATGCAGCAGCAAGATGCTGCATTGAAAAGAGTAATCAAAGAAGTGAAGTTCAAAACAAAAATCAGTGGAGGTGTTGAGGTTCAAGACTCGAAGGTATGTTTGTTTGTCCGAAAGATGAACTCCCACAAAATCGTCCATTTCTACTTGTAGGTTGTTGCCATGTTGCCATCATCCGAACTTCTCGGTACGATATTCGTCGGCGATCAAATCGTCGCAGTCAATGGAATGGTAAGGAGTACCGGGTGGCTGCCAAGTGTTNGCAAAGTTCCAATTGCGCTCTGATTTTTTTTGCAGCCAACTCCCACTACACAAGAATTCAATACGGCTGTCAACTCGAAACTCCCTGGAAGTGTCATGTTCGAATTCATGCGTGATGAGATGTGCTCCTACGAAATGAAGGTCAGCTCCGAGTTCGGGTTCACCAGCGCTATAACAGCGTAGTTCACCTTGGTACTAATCAGTTAGAAAGTCTATTCCGCTGCCATTCCGTTGAACGACCGCCTTCAAACTCGCAAGTACTAGAAATGCAGATGTTCTGACATACCCAGACCGCTCGGAAAAGCGCACATGTTAAAATGAGTATTGATCATACGCGCATGCGATCGATATCACGACAACATCACCGTATTGATGAAACAAATCAAAATCAGACATAGAACTCGGAAAAGAACTTTACTAAATTGCCTCTTAATGTCCTCGGATCCGCCGAAATATCGATTTGATGCTAGGACATTGATCAGACTCATTGATAACATTTATACTTCAGCAGTTGACTCCATGGAGGCCCGGACATGATTTGTTTCAAGTGTCTTTGACATGGAGAAGTGGAGGCACTCCTATAGGACTTCTTATTCACAGGGTAAGCAGCAAACGGGTCAGCCTGTAAGAATGGGAGACACACATACAAAGGTAGATTAGAGGGAAAGAAGACGTTCACTGTAGGGAAGCTTGGAGTATGTACAGAAGTGAGCAAAAGGAGGAGGGGCTTGAACCTAATCCCACCTTTTTCAGGACTTTTCTGGACGAATTGTAATAGCTATGGTTGAAAGTGGGTGTACTGCATCAAAAGTGATAAAACCTGGAGATCAACTTCTCAAGGTGAATCACGCTGAGGTAAAAGACAGAGATGTGGCACGTCAGGTAGGCCAGCCATAGAAAGGAAGTATTCATTACAGACCTAAATCTCCTGAGCAACCTTACCATTTTCAGATGATCAACGAAAGTATAAACGCATCAAAGAAAGTCACACTCACAGTTGAACGATATGTTGCTGACCGATTGCCATCACCAACTTTGAGAACTGCAATCCCCCCAGTCACTGCCTCCAAGTCACAGCGTGCTGCTGCTAGAACGGTGATACTCCTGATTTATTAGCCCATCTATCGCCAATTTATTTTTTATTTGTAGCCAGTTGGATCCCAGCGCAGCATAAAGGCCCCGAAACCAGTTGCACCAGTACTTAATACAAAGGTATGCTCCCATGGAAGCCATTCCCATTTCTCCAAGAAATGTTCGAGCAGCCGTTCGAGGCTGGTTCTCATAAAAACTGCTCCGAATGGAGCTGAAATCTCTGGAAAATCTGGTCCCGTACTTACGTGCTGTTGCAGTTGGACGTGGCTCTACCGGCCGATGTGCTTGCTATACTCGAAGCGAACAAAGAGTTCTTCCTCGTTGAATGTACTCAACCACCTTGTTTGAAGAAGCCTGCCAAATCATCAGAGAATGTCGTCCTTCCAGGGAACGAGCAATGTATGAATCAGTTGACAATCACCTTCAAATGGGAATGTTTAAGTCGATTATCTCGAACGCAAAGGTCACGCAGAGTGGGCGGGGTTGTCTGGTATCGTCTCCCAACCTTCGCTGTCAATTACCGCTAGATTCTGTGATGGGGCAACTCGTAAACCATCTTACTTGTCCTAGGTGCTGTTGATGTTTAAGAGAAGGAGGTTTTGTTTGCACTATCTCTGCGGCGACGTCAGACAGCCCCGCCCACCTGGCCTCGGTATTAATGTTGAGCTTTGACTATTTTTGATCCGATAGCAGTCAGAATCAATACACAATCAATCAATATCTTATCTCGGCTATTTTCAGCACACATGGCTCTGCCTCAAAGCCTAAGTACGGAGACGGTGATTCCATATGACCCATCACCGAAAGCACTGAAAATAACTCCGAAGAGAGTGGGCTCCTAATGGCAGTTCAGATAATAAAATACAAAGCTTGTCCAAGTTTTTACTAAAATTAATCGAATAAATATTCAAAAGCTTGATTTCTTTTGAAAATGGCTGTAACAATGACGTAACGACTTACCTGAGCCCGTCTTTTAAGTTGTTTAGTAAAAACGGGACCATAGGGGAGAGAAGGAGCAGAGCCACCGGGACCCGACCTACTCCCTGTTGTTTTCGTTGTCACTCGATTCAGGCATCGAATGCTTGGTCCTGCAGCGAAAGGGATGAAGGCAACGGTCGACTCAGGAGTGAATTGATATGTAAACCATTACAGGAGCCCACTGACCGCTGTTCCATGTCTACTCTCTTCGTCTAAGTCATAATACATATAAGGATGTCCAGCTAAATATTATTTTTGCTAGTTCTTCATTCTTAAGCTGCACAACGGTGAACAAATTTATTTTAAAGATCAGTTCAGATTTTTGTAATTTAATTTTAACACAAAACGTAGATGGAATCTTCAGAAACAGTCGCGTGTCTCTACCATATACGTTCCGATGATCATCTCATGATTTTCACCAGTTTTCTGGTACCTGAAAAGGTAAGTAAATAGGGACCAATCCAATGCCAAGCAAAATGCTGCAGAAGCACAGGAAATCCCCATGAAAAGTTGGCTTTCTTGAACAATTTTTTCCTGATTATTCATCTAATGGTTGAGTTTTTCTAATAATTTTTACTTACTGCCCTTGCGGAGTTGTAGGGAATTGGAAGAAAGGCTCCTACTATGACCATCTTCTCATCATTTACCAGCTACTGAAGCTTACCATGTGACATAGGGGCGAGAAATCTTCATGCATGTTACAAGGCCCTGATGGGCTCATTACTGTTTTCAGAAGACTACTCACCTCAGACATGCTTGAAAAGCATTTTCGAGATTGAAAGGGGACTCGTAGTTTCTTTCAATTTGCTTCCCATTCTCATCTTTCACACCCATGGTCCGTAATAGATATTTCCTCCAAACGTCGTCGGCCTAGGAAAACTCGGAGGGATTACTTTCTTTTTGAGCAGGGTTCGATCCACAGACCGGCATTACGCCCTCAGCTCCACTAGCAACTACCCCTCATTGGAATTTTTCAGAATCAACTTACAGCAATGCGTACTCCTTCCTCAACGGTGCCACATCCCTGCAGAACAGTTTGACGGTACAGATAGGCTGCTACTGTGGAACTGAAAGAACTGGATTCTTGGAACAAACGAAGGATAGTGGGACTGTCTACCTAAGTCCAT